TGTCATCTGGCTGAGGGTCCCCCTGGGGACACAGCGATGGGTTGGGGGGTCCTGAGGGACTTTGGGGACCCCTGGAGACACAGCCATGGACCATGGGTGTCCCTGAGGACCCCCTGGGGACACATCCACGGGGCGTGGGGTGTCCCCTGGGGGCACACCCGGGTGGGTTTGGGGTCCCTCGGGGGTGACACGTCCCACTCACATGCTGATTGGCCAGCGGGTGTGGGAGCTGTGTGCTGATTGGTTAGCACAGTGGTGTCTGCTGATTGGTTGAGCCTGTGCCCTACCTGGTGCTGATTGGCCAGTCGTGTTTGAGTAAACATCCCCTGAGGCCCTCTACTGTGTGCTGATTGGCCAGTTGGTTTGGAGGTGCTGATTGGCCAGCTGGTAGCAGCAGGTCAGATCCAGCCAATGGTAGAGCACGGGTTGTCTGGCGCTCTCCGCCTTCCTGTTCCCTCAGGCAGTCACTGGGCTGTGTCCCCGAGACCCTCCTGTCCCCCAGGCACTGCCCCACGGAGTGGCTTGGGTGGGCTTTGGGGTCAGTCGCCCCATGTCGCACCCCACGACCGACAGACTCCAGCTTTGATCAAGGAGGTTTATTGAGTCCCCAAGGCCATGCCACCACCCCCAGGGGCTCTTGGGGTTGGGGATCTCTGCTCCATTCCAGCTGTTCACTCTGAAGCCTAATGCTGGCAGAGCGGTCGGGTTGATCAGCTGATGAAGATCTGGAGGGGGTGTTGGTGTCCCTTCCTGCCCGGAGCTTCATTATCGGGATGATAACATCATAACGAACTCTGTGGGGTCAGGAGAGGGTGTGAGGGGCCCCAGAGCTCAGCCCACTCCCCATGGGGGGTCACAGGGAAGTGGGGGAAGCCCCTCACCATCAAAGTCCACACGTCCATCCCCGTTGAGGTCCACGTCCTGCAGGATCTCATCCACCTCCTGTGCCTTGAGCTGCTCCCCCAGCAGCGCCATGATGGCCTCGCGCATCTCTGCGGTGCTGATCTCTCCATCCCCGTTCGCATCGAACTGCAGCACCCATGGTGTGGGGTCACCCTCCCACCATGGCCACCTCACCCCCCCAAGGCTTCTTGTGGTCACTGGCCCCTCTGTAGTCACCCCATAATCGTTATTCCCCCGTGGTTATTGTTCCTGCCCATGCCTGTGGTCACCCCCATGGTCACCATCTCCCCATGGCCATGGTATGCCTGTGGTCCCCTCATGACCATCGTCTCCTCATAGGCATAGTTCCCTGTGACAGTGGTCGTGGTCCCGTCATGGCCATGTTCCCCCATGTCTGCTGTCCCCGTGGTAGTGTCCATATCCACACAGTCTCTGCAACATGTCCATACCTCACGGAAGGCGATCTTCAGCTCCCTCACGCCCACCATATGTGCTGTCTCCTCCCGCAGCTTCGGCCCCATCATCTGCACAAAGTCCTCAAAGTCCACACGACCACCCACTGCAGGCAGGAAAGGACACCCTCAGCACTCCAGGTCCCCCAGGTCCCCTCCCTGTCCCCCCAGCCCCGTGTGCCCCCACTTACTCCTCATTTTGATGTGCTGGGAGATCTCGATGAGCTCCATCTCGGTGGGCATGTAGCCCAGCGTGCGCATGCACTCACCCAAGTCCTTGTAGCTGATGTACCCATCCTGGTCCGTGTCAAACTCCTTGAAGGCATCCAGCAGCTCTGGCCATGGGCACACATGGACACCGTCAGGCACAGGGGGTCACCCAGGCATCATGTCACCCTGGGGCAGGGCCTTTCTTGGATGTGGTGGCATGCTCTGTGGTGCCACAGCAGTGTTGCCATGGAAGAGCCCTCCATGGCCATGTCCCCATGGCACTGCGCCCAGGGCATATGCCTCCATGGCAATGTCCTCATGGAAGAGGCCTCCATGGAATATCCCTCCATGGCCCTGTGGCACTGTTCCCATGGCAGAGCCCTCCATGGCCATGTCCTCATAGCACTATGTCCCATGGCAGAGCCCTCCATGGACCATGTCCCCCATGGAACCATGCCCATGGCAGAGCCTTCCCTGGCCATGTCCCCATGGCACATCCCTCCTGGGCCCGTATCCCCATGGCAGATCCCTCCTTGAGGCCATACCCTCATCCCCCTAGCCCTCTGTCCCCGCCCTGTCCCCCCTGCTCACCATCCAGCTCTTCCGGTGACAGGTCCCGCTCCTGGATGGGGCACATGTGAGGGTGACAGCAGAATGAGACCCAGTTCAGTATCCCCTCCCACTCTGCCCCCCAAACCTCAGCATCACCTCTGTTATGCGTGGGCCAAAATTAACTCCGGCGGAGGATTAGTGGGATTGGAGGCAAAGCCCTGTCCTGCCCTGTGCCTGTGCCCCCTGGCAGCCCTGTCCTGGTCCCTGGGTGCCACCTCCCGTCACCCATCCTGGGCTGGCCTACCCCGGGAACCCCAGGTTCTGGGGGGGTGTGCCTGGCACCCATGGGTGCTGCTGAGGGGGCTTTGTACTCAGCAGCATGTGTGTCTTCCCCCAGAGCTTGGCTGCTCCTGCCCAGGCTGTCCCCCAGGGTGTCCCCTCTGTCCCCAGAGCTGTGAGGTGTCCCCAATGCCATTCCCAGTGCCCCTGTGTCTCCTCTATCCGCAGGATCCTGCAGTGTCCCCAACCCAGTCCTGTTCCCAGTGTCCTATGTCCCCTTCATTCCCAGGATCCCAGAGTGTTCCTGATTGTGCCCCCACTGTCCCCATGTCCCTTCCATCCTCAGGGTTCCAGAAGGTCCCTGTCCTCATTCCCTCTGTCACCATGTCCCCATTCTTACGGCCCCAGAATGGCCTTGACCATGTTCCCAGTGCCCAATGTCCCCTCTGTACCCAGAGTCCTGGAGTCTTTCCAACCTCATTTCCACTGACCCCATGTCCTCTCTGTCCCCAGGGTGCTACAGTGGTCCTATCCTCATCCTCACTGTGCCCATGTCCCCAGCCCCAACTTCACTACCCCCATGTCCCTTCAATTCCCAGGGTCCCAGAACATCCACTGTCCCCATATCCCCATCCCACTGCCCCCAAACCCCATCCCCACTGCCCCAAACCCTCTCCATCCATAGGGTCCTGGACTATCCCCATACCCACTGTCCCCATGTCCCTTCCATTCCCAGGGTCCCAGAGTGTCCTTGACTATGTCCCCAATGCCCCTGTCACCCTTTCATTCAGTGTCCTAGACTGTTCCTGTCCCCATTACCGCTATCCCCACATCCCTTCCATCTCCAGGGTTGCAGAGTGTCCCCATGTCCCCATCTCCACTTGTCCCCATGTCCCCTTCACCCCCAGAGTCCTGGACTATTCCTGTCCTCATCCCCACTGTCCTCATGTCCCCATCCCCACTGTCCCCATGTCCTCTCCATCCCCAGGGTCCCAAAGTGTCCTTGACCATATCCCCAGAGCCTCTGTCGCCACTCCATCCACAAGGTCTTGGATTGTCCTTGTCCCTATCCCCAGTGTCCCCACATCCCCTCTATCCCCAGGGCCCCTCCATCCCCATGTCCCCACCTTGCCAAAGACGGTGTTCAGGAAGGGGGAGTAGGTCTTGGCGGCAGCAGCGTGGGGGTCCCCAGAACCCTTCTTCCCGCTCTTCTGCCCGTGACCACCATGCCGAGACTCGGAGCCGGAATTCTTGGGAGCCGGAGGGACACCGTCCTCGGGGGCTTTGGGGGGCTTGTCCCCCGCCTCCCCCGTCCCTTTCCCCTTCTGCGGGGGCTCCGTGTCCTTCGGGGTCCCCTTGTCCCCGCGGTTGCGTGGCATGGGGCCGGGGCCGGGTGGGCAGCAGGCAGGCAGGGAGCGGGATCCCGGGATGGCCGAGCCGGAGGAGGGAGCAGGGAAATCCTCTTACACC